TTTTTCGAAGTGTCGCGGTGTCGAAGGGACGCGGAACCGCGACGGTAGATCAAACTCTCCAATTACAGTACCATTTGAAAATCTCCATTGTCTTTTCGGTTCGAGAAAAATAAATGATTCCTGCTTGAACCTGATACGAGGATTTCAGAAGATTAAGAGAATTGCTTGGAAAGTATTCGAGAAGTCCTGGAACTTATAGATAATTCATCAAAATTAATAGTCCTTTTACCTGGAACCAGCGTTGCAAAGTTACTATGGTTAGAATTACTGAAAGATGTAATTGACGAGTAGTCGTCATCTGTCGATTGATTTCTCGCCACTTCATCGAAAAAGCTCCTAATGGCAATTGGCAGAACCATTTTCATATGTGCATCTATCCACCAAACATGCCGAAATTCCATTAACATTTCAGCCATAATCAATGGCTTAAATCTGAACGTCTTAAAGCAGATACCGTATGTCCCTTACTCAAGCCGTCAACTTCAAACGCAATCATCTGGGTTCTCTTAAAAGATATTAAAAAATCTTCAACTAATCAATTATTTATCGTAAAATTACCAATGTTTTATCAGTTGACAAAGTTCTGATATATTTCACAGGAATCGAGATAATTCAGCTCAAAGTTACCAGGTTTGGGTGGGCTCCTATTAGAGTAACTATAGTTTGATAACTGGTTCATTTATGATCTTTTTCAAAATTTCGTTTCAATTACCTGAATAACAATGGACTCCGAATGTATGTAGTCTCATTTTCCAGCGGAGATACAATCAAAATCAAAAGATTGATAGTCCACACATTTTCTTTAAATATGAGGATTTTTTGACAGAGATAAAAATCAAAGAACGGAATAGACTTAAGGTGCACTCGCTTCCTCGAAGCAGCGGATTTGTAGAGATGTATTGAGTATGGTGTTGTACCTAATCTCAGGAAATTCATCTGTAAAGAATGTGTGCGTGATCTTATGGATATGTTTTGAACTACGATTGGTCTGTTGCATTTTATGCCTCTTGGTTCCCTTAGAAACAACCTCGTTCTTTTAAAAAATGATTTATTAGACACCCGAACATTTTATCAACAATAACTTAAATTATAATAATCTCAATTTTTACATGTACCAAACAAGTCAAAAATTATTATCTTCCTAAAATAATCCTAACGGTGTGAAGTACTTTAAATGGTCTTGATAGTGATTCAGCATTAAGAGATTTAAAATCGATTGATCGAATCTGA